ACAAATTTCAACATTTCTCGTTGTATTTCTATATCATATGTATTCGACAGAATTTATTATGCGAGAATATGGAATGATAAAGAAAACGATGAAAATTGTAATAATATTTAATAATAGTAAAATCACTTAACCTTATTGTATAGCAAAACCTTTTTCTGTTCATGAACTTATCGACTATATTTTGTTTATGCCACAAAAAAAGAGATTTAAATATTCGTATTTGTTTTGCAATGTTCATTTTTTTGTTTTGTATTTTCATTAATAATAATTATGCATTCATAAGCGTTTTATTTGGGTTTTTTTATTTTTCTCATATATTAAGTATATATAATTTGTTTATCAATTTTTTCGTCTTTCTTTTTTATAGATATTAAATTTTCTTCTTTTTTTTTGGTTTGGGAAAATTTTTATTTAATGGAATTTGTGTTCAAGGATAGATTGGGTAGAAATGGAATTGGGGGAGAGAGGGGATGTTGACTGACTGCATTGATTGTTGATGGCAAGTAGAGTTTGTAGGGTGTGTGGGTGTGCTTTTGGTAGTGGTGTTAGTTTGTGTGTGTGTGTGTGTGACTGAGTGAGTTGTTTGGGTGCATGATGGAGTTTATATTTTAAACAATTTCTAGATCTATATCACCTCTTAATTGCCTTAAACATTCTAAAAACATTTAAATGATTTTGTTTATCTGTCTTTTTCATCGTCGTTTATGTCTTTGCTCTTTTGTTAAATTTATTTGAATTCAGTTTTGTTTTTGCTGTTGTTCTTGTTTTTTTTTCAGTAATGTTATGGCTTCTATGCTTCATGTCAATATTACCAATTGCTGGAGTTAAATACTTGCGATTTTTTTGTTTATAATTGAAAAATTTAGTTTTGTTGTTTTTGTTCTTGGGGTTTCTTTGTAATTTATTTATTTTCTATAGTTAAAAAATTGTTTAAATGATACCTTTTAGTTTATTTTATTTAGTGCTACTTAAATAAGAGTTGTTGTTTATTTTCGTTTTTTATATAGTCATTATTATTATAGTTTATATATATATATTTGTAAATACATTTATTTATAATTAGTTGAATTAAATATAGCTAGTCTAAAGTTATATTATGTCACTTTTCAAGTTACATATTTTTATGTTCGTTTGTTATATCAAAGTAGCTTAATTTTCTCATTATATGTATATGTACTTATTAATGCATTTTATGTATTGATGTGATTTATATTGTTGTTGTTGTTTTTATTTATGAAACCAATGAATGCAATGTCTTTTTTCACTATGCAAAATATTGTGTTTTATGTTTTGTTGTCTAAATTTAAATATGTTCATTTATATGTTGTCTTTTTGTACATTTAAATTTACAAAAAAAGGTTTTTTTTTTAATTTTAGGCGAGAACTTTTTTCTTTTCTTTTATAGCAAATTGAGATGAACATTTTTTGTTGAAAATTTCCTGTGCAATTGCGTCATTTCTTCTTCTTTCATTCCGCTCAATTCAAATAAAGTGCTTTATCTCTTATATACACACACATATTTATAACTTATATTTCGTAGTTTTTTAAAATTATGTTTTAAAAAAAATAAAACCAATTTATAAAAAATATATGATCTATATTTGTGAAATCAAATATTCAATATTTATATTTCGTTTATTTTTAATATTGAAACGTAGTTAATACACATAAACATATATTTTTAAGTTTTGTTTGTTTATTAGAAACTCAATTGTTGTTTATATAGTTAAAGTAACTTTAATGTTCTTATTTTGTTTTCGTTTTTTTACTACTTAGTATTGTCTCCTTATTGGTGAAACTATTTAGGTAAATGAGTATATCTAAAATAAAAAATCAATTAAAACAACATAATTGAATTTAAAGTCAAAATATTGTGTAAAGAATACAACATAATTCAAATTTTTAAATGTTCTTTAATTGAAAAATAATTACATTAATTACTAAAAACTATTTCCCCAAACTGTCAAAGACAGATTTCAAATTTCAAAACACTGTGTAATTATAGTTATTTCAAAAAATACAATTATTTAAAAATCAATATGACAGTCAATCGGAAGTTGGCATTCCTGTTGGCATTTTTCGAGTAAAAAGTTTACAAAGAGAACGCCATGACAAAATTCGTTCGGCGCTCACAACATGATATCCCACTCTATTTTGGGTATATAGGAGATTTGCATTTAGGAATCATACTTGAATTTGGTCGTATATGCAATATGTCTCTTCTATCGAACAGACTAGAGATACGTAGTCGAGAACAAAAAATTGACTTTTCCATTTTTTGCCTCTGACCAAAAAGTCGACTAGTCGAGAACAAAATTCGACTTTTCGATTTTTGCCTCTGACTAAAAAGTTGACTTTTTGATCTTTCGATTTAGTCAAACTTGGTCAAAATCGATTTTCAACTTTTACCGACTATTGCGAAATCAATTAAAAATTTGATTTTTATATGTGAAGTGATGTCAAAAAATAAAATAAAGTTCTGAAATGTTTAAAGGGCTTTTGTTTAATAAATCAAATCGATCTTGAAAAGTCGACTTTGCGATTTCTTCATCAGAAGTCGAATTCGATTAGTCGAAAGTCGATTTATTTATCCCTAAATTTTTTCGTTCTGCACGTGGACTGGACGAACATTACAGGAATCGGGAAAAATTATATATGGCATAAATTATGAATGAGATCGTAACAAATGGTCTGTTCCCGTACTGCAAGAATCTACTCGATTTTACTATTTTCTTTGATAGCATAAAGGAAAATTCGTTATCGTAGTAAAAAGCAGTAGATTCTTGCAGTACGGGAACAGACCAAATCTATACACTCTCCACTTTACACCAACGTTGGGTAAAATACTGTACGTATGCGTCTGATCAGATGGCATATATAAACAGAATAAAATATAATATGAACTGAGGCACCACTTTGTGAATCACGTGAAGATATATATGACAGATATATCCCTATTAGAATTTATAAAAGGGAGTCGTTTATACGGATTGCGTTTCGCCACATTCTGAAGAAATCTTCCTTTGCCCAGTTCTATTATCAGGGCAATAATATGATATCCCCCGAAAGTTTTTAAAGTATTGAAATCGTTCCTCAAGATCTGTTGAATTGTACAAACTTCCCAAAGTTAATATTTAAATCTCTATAAATTGAATGAAAAAAAAAACGATCGCCGGTCTACAAAAATAAATGGAACAATTTTATGTTTTGAAGATTTGTTATTCAGTATTGACCGATATTTCGTAGCCGTCACATTTATCCTTTGACAAGTTTAAACTACAACGTTAGAAGAAACATTTTTATTGGAATACCACACCATTCACCCCTTTTATAAACATTTGGGGAAACATAAAAATCAACTTGCAATAATAACGACATGTGAATTCACATAGATTTTGATTGGAAGAGGGAATTCAGTTTTCCCAAAATTGTTATAATAGAGATGATTGTATTTTTATACCTCAAACTCAAACAGAACAAATACCTTACTGAAGTTTCTTATTGAATATTTACTTTCAATTTGTGACAATGAAACTACACCGAAACTATTTGAAAATAATTTAGTAATTATACAATTAAAATAAAATTGAATAAAAATCATAAATAACAACAAAAATCAAAACACAACCCAAACCTGAATTTCTCTCATGTATTTCCGAAGACATTTAAAGCTTTAAGCTTCATACAAATCGTATAACGTTGCAATTTTTTGTTTTTTATTATTATTTTTTATTAATTTCTTAATTAGTTTTATAAGTGTGAAAAATATATATTAAAACATAAACATTTATAATAGGGAAATTATATAGGCTTAGCATATGTTCTGGTTGTTGTCTAGTTGTTGTTGTTGTATGTTTGTTTGTTTAGCAATTTGATTCAATTATTTTTTGTTTGTTAATTTTATAAAGCTTAGGATACATAATTTTTTATGAAAATGAAGGAAAAAAAAATAACATAAACTTGTTGTGTATTAAAATTACAAAATAAAAATATTATTATTCTTACATAAATCATGAAATAGTTAATGCTTAAAAATGAAATTGGTTGAACGCACAGCAAAAGTCTTTTGTTTTGTCGTATGAAGTTTTTATTTGTTTGCTATAGCGTTGCCATTGTTGTTGTTTATTGAATTGTTTACTAGGTATATATTTTTGTGCAAACCATTTTTTTGTTTGTTTTTTTTTTTTATTTTATGTTTAACGAAAAACCATATATTTATTTTTTATTTACACATTAAAAATAAGAAAGAGGCAAAAGAAAACGTGAAGCAATTTCAATTTTGTTTTCTTTACTTTTATTCTTTGTATTTACAATCACTTTACTTGTTTGCTGCATCAAGTGAGGGAAGAATAGAGCGGCAGAGTATACAACATTTAATATTTATATTTTAATCATTTTACTTATAAAGTTATTATATTTTTCAGTTTTAGTTTATGTGACATTTATATATATAAAAAACACAAAGTAGAAAATTTCAACTTAAATGCAAATATTGTTTAACATTTTCTTTTTAATTCCTATATTCTTGTTTTTATCATAATTATTATTAGCAAATTCTATGCATTATATACATTTTATAATTATGTGAAATTTTAGTTGGTTTTTATTAATTTGTTTTTTTTTGTTATGTTTAAAAATTCTTTTGAATGAAAAGAATAATACATAAAACAAAATACAGTTTTATGTATTGAGGTGCAGTTTATTTTAATTTTTAGTTTGTTCTTGAAAAATGTGTTTTTTTTTCTTAAGAAAAAATCTTTAATTTTGTAGATGCTGTTGTTGTTGTATTGTAACATGTGATATTTGCCTTAGGTTTGAATTCGAATCTAGTCTAACTATATATATAGACAATTTTGTTTTCTTCTTATATCAAATATTATTTTTCGTTTCAGTTGTTGTTGTTGTTGTGTTAATTCTTTAAGGAGTTTTAAAGCAATGTCTCTCGTTTTGTTATATTTTCAAACTGCATATTCTTCCTGGCATTCTTATTAGTTATGAAATCATCTGGTTATTGTGAATTGACTTAATAGTGCGGTTATTACAGCTGCCGACATTAAATGTAACCAACTGAAAATGTGTATGGAGGCTGATGTATTTCCCGTCTCACCACATTTACCTGTAAAACAAATGAATTGAATTATTATAAAAATTTTCCATTATCAACAATTTGTTATGCAAACTTACCAAACACCGATAAATTGGCTTCCAAATGATGTTCTGGTGGTTTCTGGGTCCCTCTATAACAGGCATCGCCCACTACCAGTTTGGCATTGGTGCCATCTGTTGGCCGGTAACTAATACAAACTCCATGTTTCGTTCCCTTGTGTCGAGCGATTATATAAACTGTACCATTTTCAGTCCACGAACCATGACATGAATATTCTGGAATTTGAATAAATAATAAATATAATAATAAACATAATAAATGAAACTCGGGATGATAAGGTCCAAAGTCCATACTGTCTAAATTGTCAGACCATATTGCGTAATTCAATACGTTATGAAAATTTTCATGTAAATTTTTATTGTGTGGGGTTTTCGGTGCACCCTCCAATAAAATCGGACAGGACTTAATCTCAACCGATTTGGATCAAACTTGATGCATGCCATTCTAGATTCAATTCACTACGCTATGCTACATTTCGTGGCAATCGGAAAATTATGGGTTTTTGGTACAGCATTTACATTAAATCAGACGAAGGTATATATTGCATTTTTATGTAATCTGTATTCAATTAAATTCGGTACGTTTTGCAAAATCTAGTCAGCCGAACAAACATAAGGTGTTTGATGCATAATTTACATAAAATCGGAAAACTTTTTTTCAATTTACTTTCTTGGTCTATGAGTTCGTTCCTGATCTTCTTTGATATTTTTAAACACTTTCTCATTTTTAGATTTGGTTTTTCATTTTCTTTTCATCACTCACCTTCATCGCCTTCATCATTACACAATGGTCGAACATCGATGACATTCGGTTCGGTACAACCTATCCACAGCTGACGTGTGGCCTTATAATTTGTTACGCATTCAGGAACATTACGTCTACTTCTTAATCTAGTATCACTATCGGGATCTTGGACAAAACCGACATTGGTGCTATTGCCCACAACCAAAATCTCCTGGGTGGTTACATCTTTGGGTGAGGCGGAAGCAGACGACGAACCCGGCAATGTCTCCTGACTACTATTCAATGTTGAAGAGATAGTCGGTTGGGTTGTGGTACTGGATGCATCACGACGGGAACGACCAGGTAGACCACGTGTATTTGAATGCCAGGCATTACGTTCGTTAGGATTTGAGTTGCGGAAACTTAAGGAGGCGTGTCGGCTGGAAGAAGGTAAAAAACAACATTGTAAGTATGGATATACATAGGAGAAAATTGAATGCCTTAACTAACCTTCTGTGCAAGAACCCCCGTTCGTTACTTTCATACTGATGATGATGATTGTGAATGCCATGTACTTTATTGTTGTGATTGCGTTTATGTCTGGTGGTCATATATGGTGGGCCAATGGCACCTCTTAAGGTGTACAGACCTTCCATGGGACAAATTTGAGGATCAGGATTTGAGGCTGGAATTGGAAAACAATTAATAATATTATACATATTGTATTATGATGTTTAGCAATATGTTACATACCCAATAGAGTTATATAGGGTGTCTTATTAATATCAAAATGATCCGGAGCACAGGCATCTTCCAAACGCGAGGCAGGTTTACCAGTTTGAATTTCAATAATGTGAGTATCACGACGATAGAACATCATACACATAAAACCAGATTGGCTGAAACAAAAAATAATTGTTTGTTCAATTCATATAAAATTCCATTAATGAGATAAAAAATTGTTCAAACACTTACCATCCGGTGGTGTAATGTACCACTGACATCATTTCCGTGGCCGTTTGTTTATTAATTTGTTCACACAATGCCCTTGTATCCATATAGCCGTTGGGTTTAATAATGTGTATGGAACCATCACTGGGAGGGAGAGAGACACACATAAATTTGTTATTAGTATAATTCTATTTACATGCTTCACTTCGGAACTTACTTTGTGTGGTAGTTATAGACCGCATTACCCATTAGAACATGCCAATGTCGTGGCCCTTTAAACCACGCTGGGAAATCACAACGTTCCGTGACAGGGGGTTTGCGTAGCGACATAATTCGTGAACCCACCTATGGTAAAAATAAATGTCGAAATATTATAACTGTGTAAATAATGTTAGATGTGGGGCTAATGACATTTACCTCTGCACTATCCAAACCATTACATGTTGCATCACCCGATTGAGCTAATTTATATTCGGCATCTTTAGATGTTGACATACTTGGTCCGCCAAAGTGACCCATATCTGTTGAAGGGTAAATGAAAAATGTTATTATAAATAATAATTGTTAAAAAAAACTAAATCCATATAGGAGAGCAGACTAAAACTTCTGTGACATGAGGAATAGAATGCATCAAGTCCCAAAATCATTGATATTGGGAATATGTACCTTTTCAAGTTAATATGGTTTTTATGACAAATATAACTGAGCGCCATCTATTGATGGGCATGATTCCAATCATGTAAATCAGTTTTCAAACCCAGCTTACAAATCGTATAACTTTTTTTGAATGGAATATCGTATGTCTACGAAATTGGTGTCATATTAAAGCGTAGAAAATAATTCGCATAACAAAAATATTAATTAAATTGAAGAAGATTTCGACCCTATATTTGAATGGAATATCGTATGTCTACGAAATTGGTGTCATATTAAAGCGTAGAAAATAATTCGCATAACAAAAATATTAATTAAATTGAAGAAGATTTCGACCCTATATTTCATATGAAAATATGTAAAAAATCAAAGTTATCTTGAACTCTTCATAACTTTTTAATGCGTGGCGATACATCAATGCTTCGAATGGAAAATAATAGATTAGAACATCGACTATCCTTTAATATTTTGGACTGTTTGACAAAGTTGTCATATTTCCGGAAAATTATAGTTTTCTGGGATTATTTGATTTTTTTAGCTCATAATATTTTCTTTGTAAATGGGCTAAAAAGGACGTATATTTGTAACCAGGACGTATATTTGTAAATCGACTAAACATTTTCGGAAACGGATTTAGTTCAATATAACATGGGGTTGCTTAAAACCAAATGAATATTTATATTTACGTACGATTCGATCATTCATATTATTACGATGGAACTTTGCTCTTGTATTTAACAATTCAGAATTCAAAATATCTAATTCGAAAATTATTCTTACCCATTAATGATGAAATTTTCTCATAGACAAAACACCTATAACGCTCTTCATTCGATATGGCATGGTGATGTGACACTAGACCCACTAAATAACGGGAATTGCCATCTTTCCATGTGGCCAGACAGGTTAGCTCTTCAACTGAAAATTTCGAAAGATAATATAAATGAAAAGCAATGGAAAAATAATTTCGAATCAATCGTTAAATCGTTCTACATACCTGTACTCTCTGTCCCCACAACATCTGGACAGGCCTGGAAACTTAATAGCAAACGGCTATCTTCGGTACAGCTTTCAATATTTGAAACGGGACTTTTGCATTCACCATTACCACGATTGTAGGTAAACACAAAGGGACCTAGACGACAATTCAAAATAAAATAGTAATGTTAATAAAAATAAAAAAATGATTTTTAATTAATTTCATTACCTTTTAGTGGACATTTAACGGGTTCAGCACTTTCCCTAAACAAGGAATACAGCAAAGCATCACCGGGTATTTGATCGCAGAGATTCTGTAACGTTTCACGACCTTTGCAAAAATCTGGGGGACATAAAGTTTTTAAAGCAAAGACACAAATACAAGAAATAGATTAATGCACAATATTTCTCAGTGGTATAGAACAAAGAACGAACATACAACATATAGAACGAACACAGAATAACTTAAAAATCTGATTATTACAATATAATTGAAAATGATAAATGTTTAAAATACATACATAATAAAAAAAGAATTGGATAAATAAAATATAAAATACTTATTTAAAAAATATTTACAATGTCAATATATTTGTGATAAAAAAAACACATTTTTTCATTTTAAGGATTTGGATCGTCTTTCTGTGTGGATTTTGGTTGTTGTTATTATTTTTGAATCACAAATATACTTGACATCAGTGTTATGAAAATAAATTGTTATTTCAATAAATTAAAACTTAATTAAAAAATATATAGTAATATATATAGAGAGAAAAAATACTTAAAATCAAACAACAATTTCTGTTTTATTTTCGTTTTTGTTTTTTGTCTCATCATCATTATTTTCTCATCATAAATTTAGCTATGGAAAAAATTCAACAGAATAAAACAAAATTCAATTCAACTTGCATTCATCTATGAATATTTTTTTTATTATTTTTTTGCTGATGATGATATACATATAGTAGTTTTTTTATTAATTAATTATGGTAAAATTTATGTTGAAGATGAAAAACATAAGACTCGCAGCAAGAGGTTTATTATTTTATTTATTTTGTTTTTTATTTTTATTATTTCAATGCGATAATGAATGTTTGAATAATAAACATGTATCTGTTTGGTAAATGACATAAATGAATAGTAAATAGTAGAGAGTACGTACTACATACACCAATACACATAAAAACAAACAAACAAATCAATATACATTAACACATACATACATATATATGTATTGAGGGAAAACCATGTTGTAAAAATTGTAAGGAAGAAATTATGATTATCATTATCACGATGTCGGTGACGAACGATGACGACGGCGACGACCACGACCACGACGATGATGATTTGCTGTGGTGTCGTTATGTCGTTCGCATTACAACAATGGTGTTTAAACAAAACAAATGTCTATAATAATTAGAGTAAACAGCGACAACTACTACAACAACACCAATAATAAAATGGAATAATAAAAATAATAAAACCAACATCAAGATTGACAACAATAACAAATAAACAATATATAAATGATTGCTGGGGCTGGGACTGAAGTTTCTGTTAAAAGCAAGAACAACAACCAGTCTAAGTATTGAACAACAACAACAGCAGCAACGCATATTTTCCCCAATGGAAATTATTGTGGCGGTTTAGTTTTCTGTTTTTTTTTTTAACTCTCAACTACAAAAAAAGAATGTAAAACAGAATTTCCTTCCACAATCAATTAACTAACGGACCATTACAGTGGGTGGTCAATAAAATAAACGTGGGGGTATCTTTTGTTTTGAGTTTCAAACTCAAACATTGATTTGAATAACAAAAAACATGTCCATTTTCTAAATAGGAAACAGGTTATTGTCATGATTGACCCAAATCCACAAGGGAAAACTTTTTATAAATTTCTAATTCCAATGGCATGACCAAAGGCTATTTTGGGGGCTTTTGGAAAATTGTCAAACTCACCCGGCCAGTGTATTAAAGCCAAAGATCACATTGATTGAGTCATTAATGATAACAATGTATTAAATTGTTGTTGTTGTTGTTGACTCATTAACATAAAACCGCCATTAAAACTCTCCGGTGGCCATGTTATTTAATTTTTTTTTTTTGAATATTTGAACTCGTCATATTGAATTTATGGCATTTCTTGATGTGAAACTAATAGCGACAAGCCAGTCAAATTTAATGACTTTATTTTTCGTTTGGAGGGGTGGGACAATTTTCATCAAGATGTTTACATTGGTGTCTATTAATGTCCCCTTTTTCTGGATCATCAACGTTTTGTACAACATTTGCATATTCGGTAGCCATGTTTTGATTTCACTTTTTAACATTTATTATCAAAATAACTAAATTTTTGAAAATGGTTAAGAATTATTTTTTTTTTATAATAAGCTACATGACCCAGCATGTCATTATGATAAAATTATCATTAAATATATAACATACTAAATTGGAAACGCTTCATTCGAAATTAGAAAATTTTGATATTAAAAAATATATCTTTCACATGGAAATCGAAATATTTATTTTAAATTTAAAAATATTTATGTTGAGTGTTTTTTCGACCTTTTGATAATTGCGAAATATTGGGAAATCTTTGAATAAATAAACTAATTTTAAAATATTTTAAATTGAATTTCGAAATATATTAAATAAAATTTAAAATATTTTCATTTTTTTTTTAATTTAGATTATACACCAAACGTTTTATTCGAAAAAAATCAAAATACGTACAAAAATATTTTTTATTTTATTTTATATCCACATTAGTCGAAGTTCATATATTTTTTAATTCAAATATAAAAATCGAAATATATTGATTTTTAATTATTAAAATTTCCTAACTTTGATACATAACATTTGAAATTGGTTATAAGAAAATGAGTAAATTTGAAATTATTTCAGGCAAGTATAAAATTGATTGAATCATTTCAACATATTATTTGATATTCCTATTTCCAATTATTGCATTCATAATTCGAAAATAGGGACTTTAGTTTTATTTAATATATTTGATTCGAAGTTGGTCTAATTAGATTTCAATTATTCCATTATTTTTTTTTTATTTCCTAACCACTGTTAGTTTACCTGTTTAGCTAAGCGAACAGGCGGACGGACGATTGGGGTGTTGCCACAATATCACAACCCAACTAATCCATCAACACCTCCAGCAACGCCACTGACGAGAAACCCCAAATGTCAATGGCTTTTTAATTCACACTTTTTTGTTGTTGTGTTCGCTGTTTACATTTGTTGTTGTTGCTGGTCTTGTTGCTTTTAGGGTCTATTTATTGGGATTTTCACAGAGAAATACTCGAAATCAATGACACACAGATTATTCCCTTTTTTCGTTTCGAAAATTAAACAAGGGCGGGGCGGTAATCATTCCCCAAAATCCGACCCGATTGAGTTCATGCGTCGTTGCCTCCAATTTGTTGAGGTGGCGCTGGGTGGTGTTCTCTGTTTTTGATGGGGTGCAACAACTGCCTTCAATTCTTTTGGTTTATTTTCTTTTATTTTTCGATTTACGGTTAAGTAAATAAATAAATTAAACAAATAAATAAACAAACAAAAGATATGAAATGAAACGGAATGAGCCGGACTAAAATAACAAATGGTTGCGACGGGTTGGGTGGTTGGTTGGAACAAACGACAAATTTGTTTGACCATTTTCTTCTAATCGTTTGATTCGATTCCCGCCGCTCTTGTTGTTGGAGTCAATGACTGGTGTTGTGCTTAGATGTTTTGGCTGTTTTTTCTCAATCATGGATTATTTATTTATTGTTTATCTAGACTTATTTGTTGTGTCAATATTGAAAAAATTTGAAAGAAAATTTTTTAAATTATTTAAAAATAAAAATAAATAAAATACTTTCTTTGTAGATGCTACTAAGAAATTACAATTACATTCAAGAGTTTTATAGTTTTTGTTTTTGAAATCAAAAGTAATATTTATTTTCGTAGAGCAAATAAAAAATAATTAAAAAAGTCAATAGTTTGCATATCATGTGGTCAAAATAAATGTTTCTGGAATTTGAGAAATGCATTTCTGGGTCAATAGTAGTAAAAAGGAAGGAGGGAAAAATGTTTGTTGTTATGGCTTCAGTTTTCATATTGAATATTTATATAAATTACAATATATGTTGGTTTTTTTGTTGGCATGTGTGTTGTTTTTTGTTTGTTAACAGTCATGTAAAATATCAAGGTAAGTAATCCAATCACTTTTATGGATATCAATATGTTATTGTATTTCTATTTTCCCATGCTCAATATGCAAAATAGAATAACAAATATTAAAAAAATAAATAAAATAAAAAACACTGAAATGTGAATCACGAATATTATTTGAGATTTTTGGAAACGTGGGCATTACGTTGTTAATGTATTATATGTGTTATTGCCAATGTTTGGAAACATGTGGTCTGAACATTGGAAATAATGAAAACTAAAATGTTTGTTCGAAAAGTCGTCTTCGATGATGTGGAAATGTTGAACCCAATCTACGAAAACTCAGATCTATCCGAAATTGTCATAACGAATGATTTACTTTAAATCGAAACTCAATAATTCCAAATGATCAAACATCGAATAAAATATCTAGGATCGGTCGAATGTTCAAAGAGTCTCAATACCAATATAATACCAACATTCTGCAATATAATCTGCCAGATTTGTTCTGCAGATGGAACACCAGTAGATCGAATAATGATGACCGATTCTCCTCAAATTAAATAATACAGGTCCAATTGATTTTTTTAAAATAAAAATCAAAACTGTACATTTTTATAGTCTGAGAACTTCATGAGATTTTAATGATAATTCATGACGTATAACAAGTCCGTCAGAAAATTTCAAGAGAAATTCAATGCAAACTGAATTTGTTGGCTGCGACGAAGTTCATCAATACCATTCTTGGGAGGAGAATGGAACAACAGTATATCGAATATTGAGTTTTTTCAATGAAGACAGCTTCTGGTAACAGATTCTGCTCAAATTAATAAAAATAGTTCCAATTAATTTTTTTAAAAATAAAATTCAAAACTGTAAATTTTTATAGTCTGGGAACTTCTGGAGATTTTAATGTTAATTCATGACTTTATTGTAAATGGTGCAGCGTTAAAAACATCTACAAGAAATTCCTATGGGATCTGGAAAATATGTTGGGTGATCATTATATTATCATAAACATTATTATTACAATTTTAAATAATTAATACATAAAAATTTTGTATAAAAAATATAACAATACCGTTTTTAATTTTTCTTTCTTAATATTTTTTTGCACTTTCAATTAATATTTTTTTCAAAATTTAATAACACACATTCAATATTTAATTTGTCTCA